TTCTATGAGCAGGGTAGGCAAATGTGTGGTATCAGCAGACAATGGAACTTAGAAGTAAAGCAGTCATATTATATGGGTTTTTTATAAAAAGGAGGTAGCTAAAGTTTAGCCCGCTTAATCACGTGTAACAATAAAATGAATAAGTTGCTATTGAGAAACTGCTTCCTCATGTAATTTTTTTTCCACAGGGAGTTTTCATGAACATCTAACATCATTCCAAAGGTGAACTTTTAGGAGCTCTTCTAGTTAAGCAAAATAAATATCAAAAAGCTTTCAGATTTGCCCAACACTAATTATGATGCTGAAGTTATTTCTTCTAGTCTGGCCCTCAGTACATCTGTAATTTTCTGCAAAAGTGCTATTTTTGAAGAGGAAAAAAATATGGATAAGAGAAGCTATTTGGAGCTGTGCAGAACTCAGAATTTCTGATTTCCAGAATTTCACTGGAAAACATTCATTGATTCATTTTTTGCACTAGGAGGGACAAGAGTTTGTAAAAAGAAAGGGGGGTCCTAGAAGGGACTCATGTATTTGCTTCCTTTCTCCTTTTTTTGCCTTTCCAGTAAAATACTAAAACAGGTCGGGTGTTTATTGTATGTTTCTGGTGTCTGGCTACTTCTAAAGTTGTTTTTCTCTCTCACTATGTTTCTTGTTACATTAGTTAATAATGGATTAATTAATAAATTAAATGTTTCACAAAATAGTCTTCCGTTGCTCATATAATGTATTCATCCCAAAATGCACCTGTGCTGTGGTGGAAGGAATCTACTGAGGAATGCTCATCACATGTGAAAGGAAGTGAGTCCTTTACAAGTGACGTGATGCATTGTGGAAATCAATACAAAATCAGGCACATACTTTCCTCTGGAAATAAAACAAAAAGAAATGGTTGGGAAACCAATTTCAACTTGATGTTTGGGATTTTTTAAACCTCTAAATTATTATTCCCACTCTTACTCTGAACATTAACAACCTTGTCTGAAATTCTGTTATTACTCAGCCTGAAATCCTGTTAGGGCAGAAGAGACAAGCTTGTACATTTTGAAATGATTATAACAACATGTGAAAAATAAGGATGGCTCAAGCTGCAAAATTCAGATGAGAATCCTGATTCCAATTAGCATGAAGTTAGAGGGTGTTTGTTCACACCCAGAGTTTCATTCAGCTGATTATTAAGATGGGGGGCATTTTCAAAATTCCATTCCAGACATGAGCTACCCCCCAAAAACCTAAACAAACAAACCCCCAGCCCATCAAAACTTCTAGGGTCATATTTAATCAAAATGCACTAGCTCAACACAATTCTAGCTGCTATGGGCTAGTAAATGACCTAACTACCACAACCTAAAAGTTCTGGGCTTAAATCACTAACCAGTATAAATAACAATAATGAGTTTCATCTACTCATAAGTTTTGTTATTAGTCTGACATCTATTGACTTTTCCCTCAAGATCAGAGAGAGGTTATTGGTTTGACAGCAAACAAGGTTGTAACTGCTATTGGGTGCAGTCTGAATGGGACAGAAACAATAAAACAGACGATACTTGAGGTCTCTGGTTTGGTTCCAATGTTGCTGGATTTTTATTAGAGTAGGCAAAACCATACGAAATTTGAAACACTCAACAGTCATTCCTAATGCTGACTTTGCTTCTCTTCTGTGATGCTGAAAAACGCATTAGGTGGAGGCCCAGTAATATGCATAAATCCATGGCTGAGCTACCACACCCAGTAAGAAAATCTGGAGGAAAACAAAACACATGGAAACAAAAAAGGAAAATGTCCTACAGAAGAATGTTGGGAGCCTACGGACAGGTCCAGAGGAGGTTTTCTGGCTCACAGAGTCATTTTAATGCTGGCTTATTGGGTATGGAGTTATAACTGTAATATTGGAGTGAGGGTGGACAGGAGATCATCTATCTTTTCATCAGACCTACTGAACCTTCCATTTGCCTCCACTATTACAGTCCCTTCTCCATACTGCAATCACTATACACTGTGATCACTATTCCTCAGAGGTAGTGCAAATAAGTATCCTGAAAATATGGCCTAGTTTAGCAGTTGTGTGTTACAACTGGCTAAATTTGTCATGCTCCCATCTAATACACAGGCAGGTGTTACACCCACATTTTAAAATCTATAGCATTTCAACCACAAGAGTTCATTTTTGGGGAATTTCACCTTCGTTACAGGAACACCGTTATTTGAACTTGCCTTAGAATCTTCCTTTTCTTCTTTGCTCCATGCACAAGTTGAAACAAGGCAGATATTTAATCTGATAAAAATCTGTTTTGAGGGAAGATGAGATAAAAATCTGTTTTGAGGGAGGATGCCTGGGATCTCCTCGGTCATTCAGTAGGGCTTTTCTGCATATTACAATGGCAACATGACTGTACAATTTGAGTACACACTGAATGGCAGGCAATTCAGGTAAAAAAAAAAACAGCAGTTTTCAACAAGCCTGTCCATACACATCTTTTCAATTTCCACTACATTAAATCTCTCTGGATGATATGCCATGATGTTGTCTGTCACAAAGCCAGAGACAAGCTCAAATGGCTATGCTATGACAATGTAATCATGGAGAAGAGATGGGAGGTGGTGCTGGTCAAGAAGATGTGAAGGTAGAGAAAGAAACAGTCCTCTACCCATATTGTCTAGCATGTATAATCAATATTTAATCCAAGAAATAATATTTCAATATTTAATATTCAATAATTCAATATTTAATCCAAGAAACTACAATTTGTGGACATATTGAAGCATGGGATTTCTGGCATTAACATTATCTGGCATCAGGATCTGGCATCACTTTTCTAAGAGTAGATGGTGCTGCAAGTAGCAAAATATCGACCGCTGCACCTGTAAGTGTGCAGTGTCTCTGCTTCTCTCTTTAGAGAGGCAGTGAATGTGCTACTCCTGGGGAAATTCTGTGCCACTGTGTGTGCACAGAATTCATGTCCCCCGCAGATTTCTTTGCTTCCCTGCAGAAACATTACTTTCTGACAGGGGAGCAAAGGGAAGTTGCAAGAGCAGTCATGCACCCCTCCGTAGAAGTGCAGGTACATCGTTTCAGGCACCTGGAGCAGTTGGCGGAGAGGCAAATCACCACAGGGCTGGGGACACCCCAGTCGGTGGCTCCGACCCTGCTCCAGGATCAGTTGCTAGTCCTGGCTGAACTGGAGGCGAAAGAGGATGGAGCATCCTCTTCCCCTGCAAGGAGTGGCTGGGGCTGTGTCAGACCCATGCCCAGAAACCTCTCCCAGCTGCAGGAAGCTCAGTATCCTTCCTTGCTTCCTGCCCCTATTATTCCTTAGCCATGGGGGAAGAGGTCACAGTATAGGGAGATGCTCCTCCACCTTCACCCGACCCCCCCCCCACTCCTCTGTACCTGAACCCCACCCCACTGAACCTCAACCCCTGCATCTGGAGCCCCCCTGCAACCAGACCTCCTGCTTCCAGACCCCCACCTCTGCACCCAGACCAACCCCACTGAGCTCTCTGCATGCAAACACCACCCTGATGAGCCCCACTCCCCTGCATCATCCTGAGCCCCACATCCAGATCCCCACCCCACTGACCCCCAACTAGTTGCACTCAGATCCCCACCCCCTCAAGTCCCATGCCCCCGGCACCCAGACCCCCCCACTGGGACCACCACACCCAGACCCCCCATTGAACCCCAACTACCTTCACCTGGAAGCCCCTGTAGAGTCCCATTGCCCCTGCACCTGGATCTCCCACAACAAGACTCTGTGCATTCAGATCCTGCCACACCTAAACCCCCACTGAGCTGTCTGCACCCAGATTGTCCCACACAGAACCCTCTCACCCCACACCTGGATCCCTTTACACTTGGAACCTGCCTGGTTGAGCCTGACTGCCCCACACTCGGTGCAGCTGGCGCAGAGGGGCAGGGCCCCAGGGTATTTCTGGGACAGGCCCAGCCCTTGTGCTGTAACGAGGTCGGGTGCAGCCTCAGCACTGAGTCCGTGTCCTGAGGGAGGAGAGGGGTTGCAGGGTAATCTCCCACCTTCATGCAGCCTGTGCTCCCACTGTCCATGCTGGAGCCTCCTCGTTTATTTACTGACAAATAAAACTTGCAGATTTTTAAAATATTGTGCACAGAATTTTTAATTTTTTGGCACAGGATTTCTACAGAGTAAAATGCTCGCTTGGGGGGCCTTCGCTTTCACTCTTTCTTTTTTTTGTTGTTTTCCTTAATCTAAACTAAAAGTAATTTGGAGCGAAAGTTTATGCTGTTCTTTGTACATGGACAATATAATATATCTGAATTTCCCGAGGCTGTGAAATTTGGCTGGGAATATCATGACAACCGGCTTTCTTTTGAAATCTTTGGTAACTACTATTTCTGGTCATGCTGGAAAAGAGCAAAGGGTCAGGATGGGATTTAATTTTCTTGAGATCAGTTAACAAAATGTGGTCTGAACTAACCAGCCAAAAATGACTACATGTGCTGTGGTCTGTTATTGCTTAAAGCAACACTCATTCTTGGTGGTGTGACTTAGGGGGTGAGTTATACATGTTGTGAGACAGTCACCCTTGTACAAAAGGCTAGCATCAGGCCATGCACCACTTAAAGTCCTACTTAAACCAGGGGTGATTTTACCCACTGGGCCAAATACCAGAATTCTTAATAAGATTTTATTCATTTCTTACTCAAGCAAAGCTCCCATTGAAATCATCAAGATTTTTCCTGCGTAATGGTTTGACCCAGGATAACGTCTTCTCTTTCTGCTGCACCATATGGGGCTAGTTTCAATAGCTCCCGAGCCCAGCTGCATTCTGGAGTTATGCAACATTTTCGTCTAGCAGTAGCATCATCTGGTTCTGTGGCTGGATTGCTGGCTGGCTTTTCTGGTAGCTGCACTAGCATGTTGCTGCTCAAATTACCTCCCAGTCATTATGATGTAATTGCCTGGGCATGGTTTAGATGAGGTTGCTCGTTAATAACACTTCAAACAAAGCCCTGCCTCGCTCTAGACCCATGAAGAAAATGTTAGGAAAGCTGCAGAGTTGGACGAGGAAGGGAAACTATCATTGCCTTTTTTTATGCATCCTTCCATAATACTGGACTCAGCCCCAGAAGCAAGGGGGATTCTTCTTTGAAGATGATGCTGAATAGCTGTAGAAAAGAGAAATCTTTGAGGTACACTCATTTCTGGAAGCTGTTCTTCCATATCGACACTCTGCATTTTTCTGTGAAACTCAGGAGTGGATTTGTATAGGATTCATCTTCTTTATAACCTAGGTGTCTAACCTTGCACTTTGGATTTGGATAATTGGATAAGAAGCAGTGCGGTGTAGTCTGCTCTAATGTATAGTTTTTTTCTGAACTTCCTCCATCTCAATGTTTGTGTCTCTCTTACTCACAAAAGGCTGCTCAGGCTTCCTAGTGCATTGTGTGTTTAGGTCTCCAGTTGGGATCTACCCTTTCTTTGCTTCTTTTCTCAAACTTCTTTATAAGAAGTATTCTGCTTTTCCCAGATTCTCCCAATTTTACCCTAGAACCGATCCAGGGAAATCTAATAACTATATGTCTCAACATGCATCTGAAGAAGTGGGTTTTTTACCCAGAAAAGTTTATGCCCAAATAAATCTGTTAGTCTTTAAGGTGCCATTGGACTCCTTGTAGCTCATAATAGTTTATCCCAGTTATCCAAAGGTAAATCTAGAGTAACTTCTAATAACTCCATTGACTTCAGTGGGGTTATTCTGGATTTATGCTCGTGTAACTGAGAGCTGATCCAGCCATATACTGAGAAGAACGGTCCATTGGCTAGGGCTCTAGCCTGGAGTTTGAGTGTCTAGAATCCAATACACTGCTCTGCTACAGACTTTCTGTGTAACTTCAGCTAAGTCACATAGGGGCCAGATTTTTAAAGGTATTTAGGTGCCTAAAGTTGCATATAGCTGCCTCGTAGATTTCAGTGAGAGTTTGGTGCTTTTGAAAAGTAACATGTTTAAACCACTATTTAAGTACATCACCTGTGAATTTTAAAGTTTTCATACACCTCTACCCCAATATAACGCGACCCGATATAACACGAATTCGGATATAACGCGGTAAAGCAGCGCTCCGGGGGGGCGGGGCTGCGCACTCTGGTGGATCAAAGCAAGTTCGATATAACGCAGTTTCACCTATAACGTGGTACGATTTTTTGGCTCCCGAGGACAGCGTTATATCGGGGTAGAGGTGTATCTACCCCCTTCTCATGTGCCTCTGGTCCAAAACCTGAGGTCCTCACTCAATGGTAACTCAGTTCTTACTCAGGCATAACTCCTGTTGAAGTCTCAGAAGTCAAGACAGTATGAAATAAGTAAATATTTCAGGATTTGGATGATAGAAAATAGATTATATGAGCATAGAACTGTTTTCATTACACCTCAGCTGCTTTTTAAGGAAGTCAAAGAACAAAATGTATGCACAGGATTAAAATGAATAGTGCTCTGTAGTGCACCTGGTTATTTTAGAGCAAGTACAGCAAAGTCAGCAGTTGCTGCAGCCCAATTTTCTTAATTGTCACAGCCCTGTGGCATAAGACATGTGCCAGTTCAGTGGGCCTCCCACTCAGAGTCTCATAAATATAAATTGTGCTGGGAGGTCACCATGATTCTTGCATAAATCACTTTTATAAATCAGTCCAGTGCAAAATAATGAACAAAACAAAAAACCCACGAAAGTGCAGGAAATAATATGATGTGCGGAAAGGGCTGCACAGAGGGAAGTTCATGCTAGAGAACATCAATTTATGTCTGCTAAGTGTGACTAATCTGCAGGCCGCATGAGGCAATGCTGTTTACTTTCACAACCAAGCAGGTCATTAAAGTGTGGACTACTTGTACCTTTTATCCATCATTTGGCTGCATTGAAATGCGGTGCCCTAGATCAGTTCCCTGGTAGTGCTCTCAATGAAGCAAGGTTTGAAGAAGTGGGCTGTAGTCCACGAAAGCTTATGCTCTAATAAATTTGTTAGTCTCTAAGGTGCCACAAGTCCTCCTGTTCTTCTTTTTTCAATGAAGCAAGTGCGTCATGCTTCTATGAGCTGTTTTGGTGGCTTTCTTTGTATCCCTAGTGTGCATAAGAGACAACAATGAAAACCATAGGAAATTTGGAGTTTTTCCACTGTCGAGCTAAGAACAGACAGGAAACCCATTTAACTGCTGTGCTGCTGTCACCCACACAGAAGTCAGCCCCTCCCACCAAACAGGGCACTTGCAGCAGATGAGTTTTCACTGCTAAACTCTTAATAAGGAGAGAGTGAGAGTGACAGCCCTCCCATGGCTGCAGAAAAGTGAACTCTTTAAAGAATCCCCAACAGTCTGAAAAGTTACTTTTCTCTGTTGTTTGGGTATTGATTTTTCTGGGTGCTGAGGACATTCATTACTAGCCTGTGAGCTCCTGCTTTGTCCTTTGTTGTCTCAAGAGGAAAGTTTTTAGTTGTGATTGTAAGGGGACTGTTGCCCCCTTACTAACATTCAGTGGGGTGTTTTGGTTGGCTAGCTCCCAGCACTAAAAGGGGAAG